AAATCTGCCACCGCTATTGGCTAAGAAGTATGCTATGATGTAAACTGGTACATTATGATGTCACAATGCTGTCGTGAGCCTGAGTGTGTGTGTATTTTTTAGCGGCTCCGCCCTCTCGGTCTGCCAGGCAACAGCATGTGTTGCATTTTTCAAACAGGAAGTGGGAGTGGAGTTAGACTCTGGTAGGGGTTGACTTGCTCTTTAAAGACCCACTTTTACGCTTTGGCTTTTAGACAGTGACTCGTTTTAGTGTTTTATTGTATCATTGTTTTAATGTGTTCTTAGTATTCATCATGTTTTATCTGCTTTTGATTGGGATTTTTATCCTCTGTTTTAGTTCTTTCGAATGGTTGTGTTTTGTTTTAGCCTGTGCAGCACTTTGGGCAGCTCCCATGCTGCGTTTTAAACGTGCTATATAAATAAACTATGCTATGATATGCACTCAGTTCAGACAAAGTGGGTGAAAATGTGAAAGATGCACATTTCATGGTCTTTTTTAAATTGCTTACCCACACATTTATTATTATTATGATTAACTGACTCAGAAAGTTGATGGCTTATATTTATTTTGAGTGCATTTTTAAGTAATGTATTTATTTGTACATCCTTACAGCAATGAGCGCCTGTGGAGAGATGTATATGACAATGTCCTCGACCTTTTCTACACATTATTCACCCAGCTGGAGATTCAGGGACTACTCAACCCAAGTGACGAAATTGACTTATTTGCACTGACTCAATGTTTTTTGGGTCACATTCAACACCATCTTCAGTCATTCCAGGAAGCATGGAATCAGCATGAACTAAGAACAGCAATCAACTAATCACCCCTGCAGCTCTGGCTGTTCAACAGAAAGGAAGGCCAAGATTTTTCACAGGTGTGAATATTTGATAGTGCTTATCCTTTCATGTACAAAAACAGTCTGCTGAGGTGGATGAGTTTTCCTCTGCTTCATTAAATGGCCTACAAAAATATTTCAGCTTGAAGAGAAAATGACACCAAATGCAGAATTTTTTGTAAGCTAATGTTAATCTTTACAATTCAGGTTGATGAGGACTATGGTGTGGACTGGATCGGACCGTATAGTCCTCGCTCATCAAATGAGATCACCGTTCCAGAGATTGACCTGCCACACATGCTGAATGAGCAAGAGCTTGCCATGCTACCAAACGTCAACGTTCCACTCAGTCAAGCTTTGGAAGTTTACTGTGAAACAGTTCACACACTCCGACTCGTTTGAAAGCACACCTAGTCTTTTGAACTAAGCAGGGACACTGTGCCACAGTTGCTAATGTTTTTTATGTTTTGGATAAACATCTATAGAAGATATCAGCAGAAATCACTTCTGGATTAATTTTCTTTTTATTTCTACTAAAGTGGCCTTTTTGCCATTGTTTTTGTTGATGTTTGTATGGAGCTAGGATTGGGACAATATTCAATGTAACTTGTACCAAGTTTTGTAACTTGGAACATGTTTCATGACATGTAACTTTGGATTCGTAACTGTAATTCTCAATTTGAACTTGTATTTCTTGTTTTGTAACAGGAAATTTTCATTTTGTACATGTATTTTTTATTTTGTAAAATCAAACTTTTATTTTGTACATTTACCACTCATTTTGTAACATCAAACATTCATTCAGAAACATGAAACTTTCGGTTTTTACCTAGCAGACTTCCAAAATAAAAAAATCAATGTACAAGTTTGAAATCAAAACTCTCAAAACATTCTACAAACCTCAAATCTACAGTGTTACAGATCATTTTGTCTCAAATTCTAGCGTCAGTGGGAGGAACTTGGGTGGAACCAATGAGATCACGAGTCTTAGCTACCAATCACGTTTCTCGAATTCCTGTCCAATCATTGGGAGAGGAGGGCAGGGTTCTGTCAGAGCTGTAGAAAGAGAGAGTTACAACACTCTATGAACTCGCCGACTCGCGGTCACGTGGTTCATGAAACTCAGTTCCAAACATCCCAGCGTCGTAAGTCAGTTTGAACGGCGTATGGTGGGGCAAATCACAAAAATTTAATATAATCACATTTCCCCTGGCGATTTGTGGTAATTATTGAATAATATTATATATTATATTATATATTATGTCCTAAATCCTTTACAAAGTAGCCTATTTATATTTTTCCGAGCATTTGTAGGAAGACAAACATCCGCGACTGTTCTACATTACAGGAGTACGACAGTTCTAACACACTGTAGAACACATTTAGACCACATACCTTACTATAATATATTCATGAAAATATGTAACCTTACCTCACAACTGGGAGCAGTTTCGGATTCCCTAGGTAAGAACAGAGGAATGATGTCTGTTCTTTCTGTCAGAAGTGGCCATACCATTGTAGGGTTAATGAACTACATATCTAGGATTTGAAGGCTGTTGCTATCAGCTTATGTTTTAATTCCTAAGATCAAACAAATTAACGAATGAAATCTACATATATATATATATATATATACATGTATATATATATATATATATATATATATATATATATATATATATATATATATATACATATATATACATATATAGCTTTTTTGTTAAAACATGTGAAGAGTGTGTTACAGTAATCTAGACGAGAGGAAATAAAGGCATGGAGAACCATTTCAAGTTCATGTTTTTGACACCAACCTTCGCAGTTTGGAGATATTTCATACATGATAAAAACAGTTTCGGACCAACGTTTTTGAGTGACCTTCAAGTGACATTGATTGGTCAAAAATAACACCCAAATTCCTTAAGTTTATCTTGACGGCGGAGGATAAATGACCAAGTTTTAGACAAGGGGTCGGCAACCTGCGGCTCTGGAGCCGCATGCGGCTCTTCCATCCATCTGATGCGGCTCTCTGTGTTTGTAAAATAATGAATGGATATTTAAATAAAAAGCTTTATATTTTACTGCATTAATTTTACATCTGTATGCCAATTCTAAATGTAAAGATTGTCTGCGTAAACCTGAACAGGTCCAACCCGGTCTTACTGTGAGACCGAGTTGACGCGTCACGCTTGTGTGTAATCATAGGCGCTTTCTGAGCAGAAGAGGATGTGAGATTCTCGGATTCTCCTCAGACGGCTCCTGGATGTGTCGCCACATTGGAGACAGGAACAAGCACTATTCAGCCAAAGTTTCATAATCAGGGAACATTTTCTAAGTGACAAGTCTCGCTTCAGTCGGAGGAATCTTCCTGCGTGCGCTCTGGTTCTGCGACGTGCTCCAAGCCCCTCTCCACATCTTCAGCTCGCTGTGGACCTTATGTAGTACATGCTGACAGCGAGCTGCGCTGAGCAGTGTCCAGCTCAGATGTTCAGATGGGAATCTTTTCTTGGGTGATTTAGCTACATCTGTGATGTGCGTAACGAATAAAATGTCAGTTCGTCTGCATGCGTCGGGTAATTCTTTCTATTCTTTCTCTGTCAAAATAAACGGCCAAATACGGGAACTGTCCGGTCAACACAAGCCCTGCTTTTAACTGTTTTGTTTTCTTGTGAAAATTGTTGCAAAGAGATATAATTTAACTGGATTAACACCAGAGCCAGGCGCACTGCACCGTTATCTCCGTCACTGTAAACGAGGGAAAAACAAAATGATCGGATCTTTTTCTGACCTTCCCCACCTACAAAGTTTAATTACAACAATCAAACATGACAGAGCCTGGATTTGTATTCTGAACAGTCTAAACATGTTTTAAAAAGAAACATATGACAAAAGTGGCACCTGCTCAGTAAAACCACCAACAGGGTGAAAAATATCCAAATATTGTAGGCAGAGACGGGCTACAACTTCTGGATCCACTTTATATAAATCGTTTTATTGGTTATCTTTTTTATGAAAGATAACTTTGATGTACACGAGCGACCGGTACTGGCTGCTGTCACCTGTTGTGATTGGTTAAAGCAGCTCTCTGCTGTCTGAGGGTAGGCCCCACCCACAACGCCGCGGCTGCTGTGGCTCCCAGTGTTTTCTTTACTGTGGGAAACGGGTAATAATGGCTCTTTGATGGGAACAGGTTGCCGACACCTGTTTTAGACTAATCAAGGGAAACCATGCTCTCAGGGGCAATGATCAGACATTCAGTCTTTTCAGAGTTTAACTGAAGGAAGTTATCTTCTAGCCAGCTGGCGGTAGCTGATAGACATTCTAGTAATTCAGACAGTTTATAAAAGTCAGAATCCTTAAAGGAGCAGTACAGCTGATTATCATCTGCATATAGGTGATAAGAGACATTATGAAAAGAATCAAGTATCTGTCCAAGAGGGTGTATGTACAGCAGAAACAACAGTGGACCCAAAACAGAGCCTTGGGGTACCCCACAGAACAGATCAGTAGAATCTGACATGATATGGTTTACACAGACACTGAAACGTCTGTTAGAAAGGTACGATCTAAACCAGTCTAGAACAGTTCCAGAGATCCCCACCGAGTCACCAAGTCTGTTCATTAAGATGTTGTGATCAACAGTGTCAAAAGCTGCAGAAAGATCTAACAATACGAGATTCTCACTGAAGGCATCAAAACTATGAATGAACACATGTGGAGTTATGCACTTACCCAAAAAAGGTGAAACAACTGAAAACATGTTTTATATGCTATTTTCTTCAAAATAGCCACCCTTTGCTCTGATTACAGCTTTGCACACTCAGCATTATCTTGATGATCTTCAAGAGGAAGTCACCTGAAATGGTTTCCAACAGACTTGAAGGCCTCTTGAAGCTAATCGAGAGAATGCCAAGAGTGTGCAAAGCCGTAATTAGAGCAAAGGGTGGCTTTTCTTTTAATCTTTTTGAAGAAAAGAAAATATAAAACATGTTTTCAGTTATTTCACCTTTTTTGGTTAAGTACATAACACCACATGTGTTCTGATGCCTTCAGTGAGAATCTACCAATCGTCATGAAAATAAAGAAAACACATTGAATGAGAAGGTGTGTCCAAACTTTTGGCCTGGACTGTACATGTCTCTCATCCTCCTCTCCCTCTCTCAGGACTTCATCTATCATGGCATCGCTGCCTTCTTCTACCTGAGTGCTTCGGTAGCTTTAGCCAGAGTGACCCTCGACTTGAGAGGTAGCAACGCTAAGGGCATCAAAGACTACAAACTAGACATCTCTGCAGTGGTAAGTTACAAATGGAGCCTGCAGATTTCAGACCCACGGGCTCATTATTCATTTCAGCTGCAGATTTATTCACAGTCTTTGCCATGAAGCTCAGAATTAAGCTCAGGTGCTTCCGGTTTCCACCTATCAACCTTAAGATGTTTCTGCAGCTTAACTGGAGTCCATCTGTGATAAAGTTAGTTTATTATCACTTGGAAAGACATACACCTGTCCATGTGAAGTCCCACAGAGCATGTCAAAGCACAAACCAAGCATGAGGTCAAAGGAATGGTCTGAAGATTTATTGACATTGTTGAAGTTATGAAAGAAATGAACACACACATGTTTATGACCTTCATAAAGGAATTTTGTTTATTCTGCCTCCTGATCTTACGAATTTGTTTTTGTCTCTTAAGGTTTTCTCCTACGTTGCAACACTCCTCTACTTCATCCACACTGTACTGTCTGCTATCCGATGGAAAACCTTCTAGGAGTTCTGTCCTAGCGGAGCCTTGTGGAACAAGACCAAACTGATTTTTATTTTTGCACTTAAAACTGTGGCATGTTGGCATGATGGGATGACTGAACAGAGATGGGGATTGAGGTTTCAGACCCTGTACACACATAGAAGAGTATCCTGCAGAACAAAGCTATTTTTCTATGATTTCGCCTGTCGTCCACATGTAAGGGCGTCAAAGACTACAAGCTAGACACGTCTGTAGTAGTAAGTTACAGACGGTGCCTGCAGACTTCAGACCCACAGATTCATTACAAAACTGTACTTTTTTGTTTTTAAAAACGATTATTTCAAAAACCTCTCAGCAAGTTGGAGATCTGTCAGCATTTGCTTGTGGACTTAAATAACCGGGATTAACTGTAACAAAAATGCTCTGATGTCACATGTGCAACCTGCATTTACAGTAGCTTGTTTTTATGAGTAAACTCAAAAAATGAGAATACAGTCCATAACTTCATTTATTTCCGTAATCCTTCTTAGAGTGAGAGACCATCTAAAGCAGGGTTTTTCAATTCCAGGCCTGGAGGGCCGGTATCAGCTCATTTTAGTTTTAAAGAGCAAATCACCCTCTACCAGAGTTAAACTCCACTCCCATTTTCTGTTTGAAAAATGCGCCTAAAGGAGGCGTTGCCTGGCAGATCGAGAGGCCAGAGCCACTAACAAATACAAATGCACATAGGCTCACAGCAGCATTGTGATATCATATGGTACCAGCTAACATCATAGTGTACCTCTTAGCCAATAGCAATGGTAGATTTAAATACAAATGTAGTGCAGAGTTTTTACCTGAAGAGAGCACAACTCTGGCAGTTTTAGGCAGAATATGGAAATTTTAACTAAAACGCACTAAAGTGCCAAATTATTGACTACACGTGTCTACAGCATGATTAGACACTCATTTATGTAGTTTATCAGCAAAAAAAAGTTGATTTCGGGGGACTTGCTCTTTAACTCTGTTTTTACACACCTGATTTCAATCAGCAGGTAACTAACAGGCTTCTGCAGAACCTGATGAGCTGCTGCACAGGTGATTCAGCCACTGAGTCAAGTGTCTCGGAGCAGAGAAACCACCAAAACATGCTGGATACCGGCCCTCAGCCAGGTGCAGGGGGGAGGAGGGTGCTTGAGCACCTGCCCCTTTTGTCCTAAGTGCCCTTTTTCCGGTCTTCCGTCAAATTTTACTATCGAAAACTGTCATACTTGGATACATGGCAGGCACTAGGACCATGCAGAGGCAGCCGCCTCAAGCTGAAGTCCTTAGACTCGCCCACAAGCTCATTGATTGGCTCTGCCGCGTCATGCTAACGTGTGATTGGTTGTCCCTACTTTCGCTCTAATTCGCAGTCATGGAGACGACTGAGACCAGTGTTTTGCTTGTCGGCATGAGTCTGCGTTCATCTACCTGTGAGTTTTAATTCTGCCTGCATCACGTCAGCTGGAAGGATTTTAATATCAGAGCTCTTGTTTACATTAATTTAATTAATAAAATTATGCAAACATCAAAAGGGAGGGAGAGATACCTGCTAACCAGGAGATGTCAAATGTTTGTACAATCGAACTTGTTTTCATTTGAAAAAACTCAACTGTTTACCAAATGTAAGATTCAGCTTCATTCCAGCATTATTTATATTTATTTTAAATATTAATTTAGCTGAAAAGATAATTTTAAATCAGTGCAGTATTTTATTAGTTTACTTTTTGTCATGAAATGTTTAGATTTCTCCTTTTATTATTACCTTTTATCTGGCTTATTAATATTTATAATGCTGGTAGGCATGTACCTGCAGTTGTGATGTATTTCATGTTACCTTACCTCATATTTATTTTACTGTTTGCCATTCTCTGAACCAGAGCATGGACCTACCTGAGGTCACAAGGCCCATCAGGAATTTTGAAAAAAGTAATTCATAAAAACTGATAAAAAACATTAAAGAGGCCAGGATTCACGTTTTTTTCCGAGTGTTTGCAGTACGAACCAGTCTAAATAGTTTATTTGAAATTGTTTGCCCAAGTCTTTATTCAATTCAATTCAATTCAAAAATACTTTATTAATCCCAGAGGGAAATTGATTGCTGTAGTAGCTCAGAATAATAATAATAATAATAATCAAGTCATCAAAGAGTTGTTGTATATTACAATGGCTGTTGGCAGGAAGGATCTCCAGTAGCGGTCAGTGTTGCAGCCAAACTGAAGAAGCCTCTGACTGAAGACACTCTTCTGTTGTCGGACAGTCTTGTGAAGAGAATGCTCAAGGTTGTCCATCATTTTGTTGATTCTCTGGAGAATCCTTCTTTGCATCATCTCCTCCAGCGGTTCCACAGTCATCCCCAGAACAGAACCAGCCTTTTTTATTAGGCTGTTGATTTTATTTTATTTTTTTACATTTAAGCTGCATTTTTCCACGCTTTAATAAACATAAAAACTAAATACAAACCAGCACTGAAAGCTGAGGTTGTTCTGAAGAAGGAGCAGAGTTACAAACATTTGAAACTTTTTATTACGGTTTTACAGCCATAAAACAAAAAAGATACCAGGTGGCACAGTTATAATTATGGTCAAAAGAGAGATGTTGTTGGGTTGGTGGCAGAGCTCTCAGGTTTTGTATAAGTTCAGAGTGAGATCACAGAACTGGATCGGGAATTTCCTACAAACAGGAAAAAGATCTTCGCTAACATAGCTGTAGATCACACTGGATAACTTTCTGTGGTTGCATACTGTTCAATGTTTCTGGATGAAGGACTTTATAAGGATGGATTAAATAAATGACAGAAAGAAGGACAACTTGGGTGTTCTCCCATTTTTCTTCTTTTTAATGCATTGCATTACCACCTCGTATCAGAACAGGAATCTTTATTGGAAGATCTAATTACTCGGATCAGGGGCAAAAATGTGGTTGTAACGCCTCTAGATATAAGTCAGCTTTAAAAAGTAAAGCAAATATTAAAGAAATATTATCTTCAATTGGTAACACAAAATAAAAAAAATTTCCTAGTTTATATTATGTTGTTTTAACCTCTCGTTATCTGAATTTTCAAACTTGCTGGATTGTGAATCTGTTTTAAAAACTTACTCTGTGTGCCCCTTTTTAACTTTGAGCACCGGCTCCTTCAAAGGTCTCTGCACGGCCCTGCTGGCCCTCCAGGCCCGGCATTGAATACCTCTGATCTGAAGGCTCAGGAACCGTTTGCAGGTGTTCAGGATTCATTCGTTGATTAGAGTGGGACACTTTGAGTCTAGAATATAAAACCTTTTTAAAATATTCTAATTGTTTGAGACTTTGAATGTGGAGTTTTGACAAGATTTTTCATAAGATTTACCAGTCGATCTATGTTCCTACCCTCAGCTATGGTCATGAGCTTTGCCTTCTCTGGGTTAGGGCCGAGGTCCTGCCCCTGTCACGATGTGAGCCAGGAGGAGGTTTGGACCCAAAGTGCAGAAACACCAGACGACACGAGGCAGGAGCGATTTGTAAAGTATAATCCCTTTTATTTGGATGAGAAAAACAAATGTCCTAAAATCCTGGAGACCAAAGCTCAAAATCCAAAGGGGCAGGAAGCCAAAAAAACCAATGTCCTAAAATCCTGGAGACTAAAGCTCACTTAAAGAGCACAAACCTAGAGACCAAGTGGAGGGGAACAAAACAACGCTGACACAAACAATGGACTGACAAAACACTAAGACACAGACAGGGTTTTATACACTGGGGAGGATGAGAGGGAGATGAGCTGCAGGTGTGAGGGGAGAGAAACCAAGTGAAAGCAATTAACTAATCAGGGAGGAAACTAACATGACCTAAGAGTAAAACCTAAAGACAAGAAGAGCAGCAAACATTACTAATATTCTAAGGGGGGGACCACAAACACCGGTGGGAAAAACACACTAAAGAGACTAATAAAATGAACAGCTGAAACTAAAGGAAAACACTACAGAAAGGAAAAACTACAGGGGTGTGACTAAGGGGGACCACGGGAGCACTGGACCTGGGAGGGGGATACCTGAGGAGGGAAACCTAGAGGGCTGCAGATCTGGGGACAAATGAGGAACACAAGGAGACACATGAGGGCAGACGCAGACCATAACGGCCCAAGTGGAAGAGTTTCAGGCCCTGTCCACACGTAGCCGGAGATCTGCCAAAACCTAGATATTTTTCTACGTTTTGGCCTGTCATCCACACGAAAACGGGGTTTTTTCACACAAAAACGGATCTTTTTAAAAACTCCGGCCAAAGTGAAGATCTGCGTTTTCTCCGTTTTGGGTGTCTGCGTGTGGACAGACAAAACCGGAGTTTTAAGGTCCGCAACGTCACTTTCCGCAACAAAAAATGCTGACATCACGTGTGCGACCTGTGTTTACACTAGCTGACAGCATGGATGCCCTCAGAGCTGCGCTCGCTTTATCAATTGTCCAAGCGCTTTTTGCTTGTTTGTTTTTGCAAGAGGAATTACTGCTCCTTGCGGAAGACCACAGACGAAGGACGAGGTTAAGAACGGGGGAAGTACTGCCGCCTACAGGTCTGGCATGTCCTTAACAACGTATTTATCCGGGTACGTGTGGACAGAGTTTTTTTAAAACGAGGTGGTGTGGACAAGTTTTTGGAGGGGCGGATATTCGTTTAAAAAAACAGCTACATGTGGACTAGGCCTAAGGGGGACCACGGGAGCACTGGACCTGGGAGGGGGATACCTGGGGAGGGAAACCTAGAGGGCTGCAGATCTGGGGACAAATTAGGAACACAAGGAGACACATGAGGGCAGACCCAGACCATGACAGCCCAAGTGGAACAGTTTCAGTATCTCGGGGTCGTGTTCACAAGTGAGGGAAAGATGGAGCACGATATCGACAGGCAGATTGGTGCTGCGTCTGCAGTGATGCGGGCGATATAAACTCTCCATTTACCGGTCAATCTATGTTCCTACCCTCACATATGGTCACAAACTTTGGGTATTGACCAAAAGAATGAGATCGCGGAAACCAAACCAGCCAAAATTAATTTTCTCTGCAGGGTGTGCAGGCTCTCCCTTAGAGATGGGGTGAGAAGCTTAGTCATCCGGGAGGGGCTCAGAGTAGATCCACTGTTCCTCCACGTCGAGAAAAGCCAGTTGGGAATGGCTCAGGCATCTAGTTGGGATGCCTCCCAGAGGCCTCCAGGTTTTCCAGACACGTCCAAACGGGAGGAGACCCAAAGGAAGACCCAGGACACACTGGAAGGACTATGTCTTTCACCTGGCCAGGGAACACCTTGGGCAGGGGCGTAGCACCAAATTCTGGGCCCTAGGTACAAGTCTTCTAGGTGGGCCCCCATGCTCAATTACTTAATATCTCTCTTACACATTTTTTGTCATGCTATAAGACAAGATAATAAATATGATCTTAGTTTAACCTCTATATTGAGCAAATACAAATGCCAGCATAATAAAAGTGAAATGCCCAGACTTCACATATAATTATTTTTATTTGCCAACAATGTGTTCAAACAAAAATCCTGGAATTTATTTTCCAGTAAATGCCCACTGACGGGTCTTCATGTTGGCAAAATCACTTATGGGATCTTTAAAGTCCAATCCTTTGGCTAATTGGCTTTCAATAGAAAGAAGAGCTAGGCTGTTCAGTCTATCCTGGGACATTGTTGATCTCAAATAATTTTTCACCAGTTTCAGTTTGCTAAAAGCCCGTTCACCCCCAGCAACAGTCACAGGTAGTGTGCAAAATATCCTCAGTCCGATACAAACGTCTCCAAAAATGCTCTGTAATTGCATCCTGTAGATGGCATTAAGCAGCTCAAGAGGAGACCGAATGTGTGGAAATGTGGCACCATATATTGTTCTCAGGTGTAGCATCTCATTCTCAAATTCAGCTGTGAGATCCTTGTAATATTTTCTCATCAGTGCCTGGCATGATATCTTCATCTGCTCTTCAGTCATGTCTGTCATGGTTCATGATCTTAAGCTTTGCTAATACTGATATGTATTGATATATTAAATACATATGACATGAAATAAACCAGGTTCTCTCTGTGAATGTAATGTACTCTAAATTTTATAATCCCTGCATTATCAGCCAAATTATAAGATTGTCCATTTTCAAGATCAAATATAAAGAAATTTAAAATAGGCTTAAAATATCTAACCAAGTCAATAACAATCCTCTAACACCAGTGTCATCATGCTATACGAAAAACAGTGGCAGCTTCTCATTCCTGAGATTACCACGAATCCATCGATACCAAGTTTGTCCTGGTCCATGACTGGGAAGGAGCTGAAATATCCACACAGAGTGAGCCTGTTTTTACTGCGAGGTCCGCGAATTAATTGGCGGCGGCCGCCCGCAATAATAATTCTGATTAATATATATATATTAATTAGTGTTTTCACTGATAACACTAATTAATTTATATTTGATCTTGATGGTGAAACTAAAGGCGTTTAGCACTGAACACCTAACATGAATGCAGCTTCTGAGAGCTAGCTATTATCAGCTAAAACTGTGTTCTGCTGCTGCTCACCTTCCTTCTTGAAAAACCAATACTTGCTTCTGTTCAATTAACTTTTTCTCCTTCTCCTTCTTTTCTTTTCTTTTCTGGAAGCCAGATTTCCCTTTCTTGGGAAAAGACATGACTGACTCTCCTGCCTCCAGCTCTGGCTGTCAGCATCTGCGATGTCTCATTAGCTGTACATGCGGCCGTGCAGCCCCTGGCCGCTGGTGTGGACTAAACCACTTTGCACATTTTTAAGGGGTGATAGATGCCTCAGAGATTATTCAGTTATTATTTTTAAGGCGAAATTCTGTTTCTTAAACTCTTTATCCAGGTAAAGGGAAGTTTATTAAGACATTAAGTAAGTTGGGGAAAAAAACAACAACAATAAAAAATTTTTATTCAAAGCTGTTTCAGTGCCCCTCCCTGCAGTGGGCTCTGGGTAAATGGTACCCTCCCCCCCCCCCCCCCCCCCCCCCCCCAGTCCGACGCCCCTGACCTTGGGTTTCCCTCTGAGGAGCTGGCCCAAGTGGTTGGGGAGAGGGAAGTCTGGATCTCTCTTAGGCTGATGCCCACGTGACCCGACTCCGGAAAAGCAGACAATAATGGATGCATGGGTGAGTATTCATAAGCTGTAAGCCATAATCTTCAGAATTGTAACAAATAAATGCAGAAATATCGGGCTCTGCGTGTAATGAGCCTATCTCACATATTAGTTTCACTGAAATAAATGATCTTTTGCACCTTATTCTAATATTTCCGGTTTCACCTGTAAAAGCTCAATTACTGCTCTAGACAACAGGTTTTTGCCTGTCACCTAGTAACTCCACATCCAAGGAATGTTTTTTGGCAAAGACGCTGACGCTTTGGAGAGCCACTGCCACCTACAGGTTTAGGATGCTGATGAACGCTTCACAATGAACCGGATTCTTTAGCTGAAAATGAGGTGGTGTGAACCCCGGGGGTGTTTGGTTTTACAACATCCCAGCTACGTGTGTACAAGGCCTTAAGTCTGAAAGAGGAATCTATGTAGAAACATCTGGCTTTGATGCAGACAGATGTCTCGGTGTTTAGAACAGTGTGAAGGCTTGCGCCACAGATCTGTTTCATCTCTCTGCATTCACAGACGACCTCTAAAGCTCTAACACAATCACTGGAGGTTTACAGAACAGCCCCAGTGTTGAAATATCACATAATAAAATTTTGAATAACAGCACATCACTAGAGTTTTTAGATGTGTGGCAGAGGAGAGTGAAAAGTTGATTCTTAGGATTTATTTACTGTTTAAAATCACTGCCTTCTTAATAAATATGTAAAAGTAAAATGTGATCTTTTTCTGCTTCTTTCAACGACATCTTTTAGTTTAACTGTTCTTCTACGTTCAGCTTGTTGGTGACAGACGTGATGATTTATTGTTTACTTGAGTAAAATTATTTATAAAAACATTTAAATAGATATGAAATGAATATTAAAATGAAAGTGGGTGAAAATAGTAAACAAATGTATGATTTTACATTCTTTGAGGTAATTTTTGTATTTATTATTTTTTACTTTTAAAAATTTTAGAATTCAATAGACAAAAACGTGTAAAATGCTTTATTTGGGGAAGTGTAGAGTAAACCCAAATGTGCTTATCAGCTTTATTGTACTTTTAACTGGTAATATGATCACAGCTGATAAACAATACATCGTTAATAATAACTGGTAATTATTGGGACACCTTTAGGCAATAGCTGGGCCACACACTCACCATAGGAGGATTAGATGTCTTGGCAGGACTGGGAGCACCTTTGTGTCCCCCTGGCGGAGCTGGTGAAAGTGGCTGGAGAGAGAGGCCTTTCTGTGTGGAGTCAGCATGTTCTCCTTATGCATGTGTGGGTTTTCTCAGGGTTCTTTCCACAGACCAAAAGCATGTGTGTGAGGCTGACTGGGGACTCATTGTGTGGGACTGGTTGTGTGTGTGTCTCTGTGATGGACTGGAGCCATGTTCAGGGTGTCCAGCACCTGGGCCTCAACTGGTGAGGCCCAGTTCAGGCCAGTTTGCACAACCTTAGTGGCTGATAGGTCGACTGAACATAACGCCAGCCTACCGGGGCCAGAGCCTCTACCTGATCTTTCAGTTTGTTCTCTAATGACCAAATCACCTGTTCTTGGGTTCTAAAAATGGCCCTAAAGTGTCTGTTACCACATTCAAATAATCAGCATGCTAAAATTAAAACTGACTTTTAGATTCTCAGTCTGCCCCCCACCTCTCAGAATCATGGGACCACCTTATGGGTAAAGAATGATCCTCTGTCACTATTCCCAGCAGAAAAACACATCTGGCACAAGTGACCTCTCTCTCTCTCTCTCTCTCTCTCTCTCTCTCTCTCTCTCTCTCTCTCTCTCTCTCTCTCTCTCTCTCTCTCTCTCTCTCTCTCTCACACACACACACACACACACACACAAGGTATTCTGTTTAAGGCTGCATAGCAGGTCGGTGAACTGTGGCTGTGGTGTATTATTGATGAGTGCAGGAAGTAGGTGATAATAGAGGATCATCTCCATGAAACCGAAGAAGATAGAAGCCCCATGAGACTGTAGATCATCTGAATGATTAGACCGTCAATGCGGGTTAGTGTCAAATGAACCACATGCTGATGATGACTTGGGATGGGAGGGGAACCACAGGGACCTGTTCAGAGCAGACGGCATCATCGTTACTCTCCTGGTGTCCATGAAGGATGATGACTGTTTCTACACCAGGACACGGTAAAATGTGTCCTGGTGTAGAAACAGGCTGTGCTCGGATTTCCCTTACCCATATCCAGGGGCGCCTCCAGAAATTTTGATAGGGGTGGCCAGATGGCACCAAAGAAATGTTTGGGGTAGCACACCAAATTGGTCCTTGTGGTAAGTCTGGGAGAGTTTAGCCTGTGGCGATGTACTGCATTGTGCCTTTATTGTTTTGATTAAAATAACAGTACGTATCTAAAACATTTAGCTTAAATTTTACAAACACAAACATTTCTGATATATACATTTCAGTTATTTAAAATGGTATCCCTAATTTATGGGATTTTTAGGTATTTTTTACCTAAAAATCCCATGGTGAGCAGCAGAAACATGTATTTTTATTCTGATTATTTCTTTACTCATTACTGGGGGTGCCCTTGCCCATATCACCAACATCAGCAGAGCAGGACATGACACACATTCAGCCAGGAGGGGCAAAAGCCACATAAAACCAAAACAAAGAAAATCGGGTTTACTCTGATGCTGTTTCACTTCCCAACTGCAGACGACTTAAGAAGAAACACGAACATCTATTCTCTACAACCACTTGGGGGGCTGGTGCCTATCTCCAGCATACTCTGGGCAGGCAGACGGAGCTCTAGAGAGACCAGTAAAACAGACAGTCATGTTTTTGGACTGAAGGCAGAAGTCAGAGTACCCAGAGAGAGAACATACAACCTCCTTGCAGAAAGACAGGGATTTGAACCCAAGACCTGCTTGCTGCAAAGCAACAACGCTAACCACCACACCACTGTGCAGCCGACACATAAATGTTCAGCTGCAATGTGGTCTAAAGATTAGTCCACAACTAAGAATGAAGAAAATGTTTTTTAGAAGTTTCATTTCATTTATTTATAAAGCCCCTTCTGCGACCAATGCAGATGCCCAAGGTGCTGAACACAACACAATAAAAACATAAAACCATCAGAATAAAATATAACAATCGTAAAACCAACATAAAATCAATTAAAACAGGAGAGTAAAAGCAAAAAATAAAATCCTGAAAAAGATCAAGAGGCCGGGGCATCGAAACCCGGTAAAATTTGCTAATCCTGAAATGCCTTGGCAAAAAAATGGGTCTTAAGGCGAGTCTTGAAAACCCCCAATGAGGGTGGTTGATGTACCGCCAAAGGCAACTGGTTCCAAAGTGCAGGTGCCAACACAGAGAACGCACGGCCCTTCCGTGACCTGCACTTAGTGCGTGGAACGATCAACAGCTCCCTGCCGGCTGAGCGAAGGGCCCGCGAGGGGGCATGTCTGTGCAAAAGGTTTCCAAGACATGCTGGAGCAGTTCCTTGGAAAGCCTTGTATGCCAGTACCAAGACTTTGAATTTTGCCCTGTATTGCACAGGCAGCCAATGAAGGGACGCCAACACAGGGGTGATATGTTCCCTGCACCTAGTGCCTGTCACGAACCTAGCGGCTGAGTTTTGTACTAACTGAAAGCGTGCTACCGCACCCTGACTAAGGCCGGCACACAGTGCATTGCAGTAGTCGAGCCTTAATAGAACAAAAGCATGTGTGACAGTCTCTAAATGTACTCTGGACAGCAGGGGCTTCATTCTGGCTAGTCGGCGTAATTAAAAAAAAAAGTTCCTTTTTTAAATGTTTGTGTCCCACCTTCACCTGTCTGCTGTTAAAATAATATATAATCTGCAAAAGTCAACCCTTTTTTTACCTTTTAATCTGCTCACCAACAAAAGAACTGGATTTCTAAATTGATCTCCTAAAACTCTAATTTTGAAAAAAGGGGTTTGAAGTATTGTGTTTTCAACCCTTTATTGGTACGCTGTTTAAAATATAAGGACAAATATTTTATTTTCTTGGTTTATTTAATCAGTGTGAGTCCATGTGAGGTGAGCAGAGTAAATCAACTAAAATGCTGCTTGAGAATGACCAAATTCAACTCCAAAGATCTTCAGAGACACAAAATATTTTGCAGAAAACAATCAAGAAAACTAAAATACAAAAATTCTCTGGACTACCATAGCCAACGCAATAATTAACTTGCCTAAGAGGCAGTTCTAGCTGCGTTTCGTCAACGGTTTCATTTTCGGGTATAAATGAAAGCAACTCATATTTAAGATAACATGACGTCTCAAAAGGACCATTGGTAATATTTTACCATATTTTGTGCCTACATTTTCTCTCATGAGCTGGCTCCTTTAAAAGTCATTGGTTTCAAGCCAGTTTAGTGATGGCTATGCTGCCTTTGATCCATAACGTGTCAATGTTGCTGAGCGGCATAACTCTGTGGAGGAAGTCAAACAGCTTCTGCCCGTCAACAAACCCACGGAGTCTGCTCTGCTCACAGTGAAGCTCAATCTGAGTGGAGATAAGACAGGTGATCGATTCAAACTGGTAACAAAACAGGAAACAAATTCCCAGTGCTCCTTACTGGACAGACGTCAGAACTAGGGATGGGTACCTTTGACATTTGAATCGATCCGGTACTAATTCCCGGTACCTACGAATCGATACCGGTACTTAACGGTACCAATTTTCGATACTTTTGAGTGTTTATTATTTTAATTCTCTTTTATAATTAAATATATATTTATCTCAATATATAACAATATTTGATATATATCACGATAAATAACATTCAACTGTTTGTATTTTAACATCGTCCTTGTAGTTTTATAAGCTGATAATTAAACTGAAGCAAACATCTTTACTGTGAACTAAATTTACTGTGTATCTTCATTCCTTTTGCCGTCCTTTTTCATTTGATTTTTCCTACTGGGAAGTTAGAATTTCCGAGGAGAAAGCGAACGCACCATTAGCTGATAACAATGGTAGCAATGGAAGCTAACATACCAAGCTAACGTTAGCTTAAACAGTTTATTTAGCTGATGGAGCAGATTTAAACGATGATGCCTCACACTTAGATCGTTGTCACTGGTTTCATCTTCACCCGTCACATTTAGTAAAGTGAAGCCAAACTTTAGTGCGCGTTCATGTTCTTCTAGTCGGGAATTCGGAGTTCCGAGGAGAAAGCGAACGCACCATTTGTGAAACGGAAGCTAACATATCAAGCTAATTATATTTACCTACCGGAGCAGATTAAGATGAGGATGTCCCACTTAAATCGTTGTCGCTGGTTTCATCATCACCCAGTTACCCATCACATTTAGTGAAGTGGACCCAAGCTTTAGCCTGCGTTCTTTCTACCATGCTGCTCTGTTTACAACTGGTTCTCAGCGAGCGACGACATAACGCTCTTGCGCATGCGCAGCTGTCTTGGCAAGTTCTCGTTATGATGGACGGGTACCGAAACGAGGCACCGTTTGAAATGGCGTGAATCGGTGCTCGGTCGGTACTGTGGAATTCGGTTGGTACCTTAAAAAGTACCGAATTCGGTACCCATCCCTCAGAACTAACAGTCATGTCACTGAAAAGCAGATGACAATGAAAAAAAGCACATTCACCGTTTATCTCGGAATGAAAACATGACTTTATTTTGGAAAATGATGAAGATTCAGATCATTAAGCATTTATTTAACCATGTGCACATTGTCCAAAAAAATCATGAGTAAAATCTATTTTATGAATTCTTCACAACTTCACAAGGATATTCATTTAACAGTTTTTATGCACAACCATTATTTGCCTGTGTCTTGTTTTAGGTTAGAATTTAAAAAGGAACATTTTGAGGTGAGCTGCTTGGTATTGTGTGAATGTGGTCTAGTGGTCAGATGCTGGTACCTTAAAGGGCTGGTCCCTGATGAATGGGAAGAAGGGTGCCGCTCTGTCCAAGTCTCCCCAGGCTCCAGACACACAGGCTCTCCTCAGGATTTGGCGGTCCCTGAATCGAACACACAGCTCCAATGCCACATTAGGAGGAGGCTCTCTGGACGTTCCACGGCCGCACGTTAGAGCGATGTAGAACCTGACAGAAGGACAAAAGTACGTACGTGAAAAAAGCCCTGATGGACTCAGAAGGAAAAGAAACATTATTGTTGTGGAAAGAAAAATATCAAACCTCTAAATTATCTCAGTTCCCTGAAATTATTAAAAATACATATTTATAAGCAGGTCAGTTCATCAGAGTGTCATGGTCTGCATCTGTCTTCCCTTCTGTGTCTCATAGCGCCCTCATGTGTCTTTGGTCTGCATCTGTTATGTGTCTTATGTGGTAGCCCTTTAGCGCCCTCATGTGTCCTTTGTCTGCATCTCAGTTTAGTGTCTTTGTTGTTACCTTTTCTTATCTTTCCTCCCAGGTCAGCTCCAGCCTCTTTGTCCCCAGCTCGGTGTGTGTGGGTGTATGTGCTATGCCCTCCTCCAGCTAGTTTGTGTGAGCCCTTCCCTCTGTCTTTAGGTAATTGTTGTTTAGTTTTGTGTTTAGGTATTTGCCCTCCTCAGTTTCTGTTTTCCCCATTGAGATAATTATTGTCACCTGCCTTCCCTCCAGCCCTCACTCCACACACCTGCTTCCTGTTTTCTTAATTGTTCCTCCCAGTCTATTTAAGCCCTGTCTTGTCTTTGTCTTGTGTCGGTCCATTGTACATGTTTGTATGCTGTCAGCGTTTGTTCGTGCCCTTGGTGAGCTTTTGGTGTCCTGTGTCCCAGGACATTTGGATTTTGGCTCGCTGCCTTATGGATTTATTTTGTTCTCATCCCGCCAAATAAAGGATTTATACTTTAAACAACTCCTGCCTCGAGTCATCCTGGGTTATCTGCATTTTTGGGTCCTAAACATCCCCACAACGTGACACAGAGCTCTATAATCACACTTTAAGTAAATTGTGTAAAATAACCAACCAAATAAAATACCTTGTCTATGTCAATGATACCAGTACATATATACAGTATTGTGATGGACAGAAGACGGAAGCTGCCGGGCTCTGAGGGTGTGGTGATTGGACACCAGCTGGTCCTCGTTATCCATAACGAGGCCAGGGAGGATAAAAAGGTGACAGGCCTACTGAGAGGGGCACGTGGTCGACCTTTCATTGTGGCATCGGACTTTGGGGGGTGGGGTCGTTCACGGTCGGGTAGGGCTGCCGGCGACGAAGACAGTTAAACAGGCATGCAGCGTTCCAGTGCTAGGAGGGAAGGCTTGACACCTTCTTTAGGCAGCGAGGGCTGGGCATAGTGGATGCCGAGACCACGCCGATATCTGCCGCTACGGACTCAGGCAGTTGGACTCATGTTGTGGACTTACCGCCGTCCTCGCAAGCTGCACCCCGGGGCGTTGGACGGCGTTGGAAGCTCAGACCCCGGAGAGGGGGGTCACCACAGCTGAGACAGCTAAGTACCGCTGCTTGTGTGACTCATGCTGGACTGTTGGTTTTAGAAGAGAGGGCTTGGGCCATGGTGTTTTATTATTGATTGTGCAATAAAGCATGTCTTTTATAAGTCGTTGCCTACTGGTGGTGTTTTCAGGCTCTATCTGGAGGGCAAGATATTCTACCCGTGCTGCCCACTGCTACTTTCATTACAGTATATATCACTGGGAAAGACCTGGGTTAGCTGCAGTATACAGTTAGAATACTATAGACCTGGTTCGACAACCACTAATTATTATTACCTTTAAAATCTAAATTTAAACTTTAAAGGTGAACTATGTTTATTTATTTGGCAGACGCTTTTATCCAAAGCGACTTACAATTTATAACCTATAGGGCATGTTGTGATCTGTGGGGGAAACCGGAGTACCCGGAGGACACCCACGCATGCATGGGGAGAACACGCAACTCCACGCAGAAAGGCCGCAGCCAAGTTTCGAACCTGCAACCTTCGTGCTGCGAGGCAACAGTGCTAACAACTGCGCCACCATGCAGCAGAACTAATACTGTGATCAGGTTTGATTACTGAAATTTCAGTTTCTGAGGGTGATGTGAAACTAAGGCCCTGTCCACACGTAGCCGGGGATCTGCCAAAACGTAGATATTTTTCTACGTTTTGGCCTGTCATCCACACGAAAACGGAGTTTTTTCACACGAAAACGGAGTTTTTTCACACGAAAACGGAGTTTTTTAAAAACTCCGGCCAAAGTGAAGATCTGCGTTTTCTCCGTTTTGGGTGTCTGCGTGTGGACAGACAAAACCGGACTTTTAAGGTCCGCAACGTCACTTTCCGCGACAAAAAAATGCTGACATCACGTGTGCGACCTGTGTTTACACTAGCCGACAGCATGGATGCCCTCAGAGCTGCGCTCGCTTTATCAATTGTCCAAGCGCTTTTTGCTTGTTTGTTTTTGCAAGAGGAATTACTGCTCCTTGCGGAAGACCACAGACGAAGGACGAGGTTAAGAACGGGGGAAGTACTGCCGCCTACAGGTCTGGCATGTCCTTAACAACGTATTTATCCGGGTACGTGTGGACAGAGTTTCTTTTTAACACGAGGTGGTGTGGATGCAAGTTTTTGGAGGGGCGGATATTTGTTTTTTAAAAAAAAAACGGCTATGTGTGGACTAGGCCTAAAGTTTATATGTTTTAACAACCATGAAACACTATCTGTTTTCACAATTATGAACTACTTTAAAAAAACAATACACAGTACCATACCAAGTTTATTTCTATAACACAATTTAGAACAGCATGTAAGCTGAGCCAAGTGATGAACAAAGATACAACGATAAAACAACAGCATAAAAACAGCATAGTGAAATAAAATTATCTGTGTTCAAATGAAGATATTCATATAATATATAATAATATATAATATAGTGGAGAAAAAATAGGGCAACAATAGAATCACAAACCTAACAAATGTATAAACCTGTATTTTTACATCAGAACATGGTTATTAAACAATGAATATAGAATGAATGATTTCACTTGGTGAATCACAGCAAAAATAAAAAAGCAACTGTGTACGGAAAAAGGATGAAAAAATAACTAAATTTAGATGAGATTTTTGCTGTGAGGAGCCAAATGAGGAACTACATTTCCATGTTGGCCTGGAGATCCCAAGATTCCCTCATAGAAGCTGACAGTAGTTCCCACGATGAAGGAAGTCTGGTCTGTTGATGGACGACTTCCCCAGCACGACTACCGATCAGTCAGAAGAGGATGGGTGGAGTCTTTATTTTGTCTGGAGTGATTGAGCTGGAGGTAATAAAGCAAAACGTGATAATTGTACAACTTTACATCAGAAGGATGGTCTACATTTTTTCCTCACAGCTATCATTTATTTGGAAGATAAAAAAAAACTTCACTTACCAGCACCTCTTGTGAACTGGATTTGCTGAAGTCCTATTGGTGATGCAAACCTCCTGGGGGTCATCAGGTCATCTAAAGCCTCCAAAGCTCCTATGCCTTCATTTTGAGGAAATACCTGTTGACAAAATGTACAATGTATAATTCTGCTGTAATAGAGATGACCACATGCATCTACGATAAGCGATTAGTGCAGCGGATAAGTTTAATGAGCTAAAAATAAATGCAGATGTCAGATAAATGTACATTTTTGGCCTTTAACATAAAAAGAATGTACTACTTTATCAATTGATAAGAGGTTTTAATAAACCGTGATAACAGTATTTAATAACACAGCAGTAATAAACTGATCATTTTCATTTTAAGGCGCTATTATTTATTCACAGTAATAAAATGCTAATTTATGTAAGCAAAACAACAGAAAATTATAGTTATGTTGATTTTAATGTTGGCTGATTGTCATGTGTTAAAATAAACCAACATTGTAAACAAGTAGCATAATTGCTAACGTTTCCCAACACCACCCAAAAATCTCTCCTTACCCACAACAGCAAGGCAGGATTCGCCGTGGCGCTGAACGGCATCGAGCCGCCCAGCCGAGGGAAACTCCCGGGGCTAAAGGGCGTGAAGGCCGCTGGCAGCAGGGCTGATACCGTGGCACACTGAGGTTATAAATACTGAGTATTTGAAAATTCCTCACATATCGGCAGACATTCTGTAACATAAACACAAAAAGTAAGCACACACACTCTCCGAAAAGTGAAATATACTAACTAAGCACCGCTAGCGTTTATGCTAGTTACAATTGAACTTCAAGGGTAACACAAAGCCGTCTGCGTTTTTTGTTTGGTCAAATAACAAAATATTAAAATACTAGTCCTTACCTGTCTGCGAGAACTCTGCATCCCTCCTGAAACTGATTTGGTCCAAACATCTCCACCTTTGAAATTAGTTTCCATTATTTATCCGTTTTATTTCTCCTGTTGTTCTTTTGTGTTTGACAAGGATGGAAGCTTCTTAGGGTCATAAGAAAATACTTTTGTACTGCTCCGTGTGTTGGCTTCAGTTCTCTCCACAACACTGTGTCAACTAACCAGAGGGGAAAGAGGCTCCTTATGGCTGGAGATGAAGCTGGTGGTAGAGAGTTGAGGCGAATATCAAACACAGCGGTGGTGTTGGAGACGAGGCAACGCACCAGGCTCAAATGTGATTGGCTCTGGGACCAGGAAGAATGAGGGGGGCGCTGTTTGTTAACAGATAGGTCATCACGACTCGGTCATTTTAGAAAAACAAAAACTTGGCCTTCCCCCAGCCAGCTGAAAGGGGAATCTTGTCATTGTAACCTTCCCTGTAATGTGATCTAAACACTGGACTGCTTTGTGAATATTTTACTGTCCAGTTCTTACATAGTTCACCTTTAAATAAAGCTAAATACTTTGTATTTAGAAACAAAACATTCCATGGAAAAATTCTATGGGAATGGAAGTGTCTTCAAGAAAAGAAAGTCCAATTGCCTATTTCTAAATAGATGACCTGCTTTAATTTCCACTCATATAGTAAATCTGAGAAACCTCCACCTTTGGATTATTGCTAAGATTAGATGCATCCTTTCCAGGAGTGAAGCTGAAAAACTAGTTCATGTATTTATTACATCAAGACTGGATTACTGTAATTCATTACTCTCAGGAAGTCCACAGAATGTAGTTAAAAGTCTTCAGCTTGTCCAAAATGCTGCAGCTAGAGTTCTGATGAGAATTAAAAAGAGAGATCATATCTCTCCTGTCTTAGCTTCCCTACATTGGCTACCTGTTAAATTCAGAATAGATTTTAAGATCCTTCTTCTCACATATAAAGCTCTTAATAATCAAGCTCCATCATACATCAGTGATCTGATTGTTCCATATGTTCCTAACCGAGCACTTCGCTCTCAGACTGCAGGTTTACTGGTGGTTCCCAGATTATCTAAAAATAGGATGGGAGGCAGATCTTTTAGCTATCAGGCTCCTCTCTTGTGGAACCAGTTCCCAGTTTTAGTCCGTGAGGCAGACACCTTGTCTACTTTTAAGACTAGGTTTAAAACATTTTTATTTGATAGGGCCTATGGTTAAAATCTGATGTTAGCCTAGATCTGGACAAGTGGGGGAGTACAGGGAGGTGGAGTGTACAGTCGGTAAAGACGACTCTCCCTTGCCCTGCCTCCAACATGCCTCCATCTACAAAGGCTAGGTTATCCAGATGTTATCTGTTGTAGTTATGCTGCTATAGAGCTCCGGGAGTTGACGTCACTTCTCCCGGCATGCAACAGTTCAAATCGAAACGGCGCCATATTGGCATGCAGAAGCCCGCAGCTGGACTATTTGTTATTGTCAGAAAACTCAATCAAACGGGAAATATGGTAGATTCCTGTTGTGCCCCAGGACGCAGAACAGACGCGGACGACATAAGGAATGAGCCATCTACAGGATTCCCCAAGATCCGGAGCGCCGCAAACGTTGGATCATTGTAATAAAACGCGCTAGTGACCGGGCTAAAATGAAGCTGTGGGATCCCGAGAGTAAAGGATTTCACTTATGCAGCGACCGCTTCATATCAGGTACTTAAACCAACGTTTCCTCAACTGTGTGTGGTATTTATTTTAAATGCTTTTATTATGATTCTTAGTGGGCTTCCTAAACTTATTTTGGCGTGGCTTTTTCTGTCTTATTACTCATAGCAACAAGTAAACGTCACGTAAAACGTTGCCTCGTGAGTTCAGCGTGCTGCCGTTTACGTGTTTTATGATCACAGCAATTAATCGGCTAAGCTGTATTTAATTTTTAAGCAATGGTTGATCAATTGTCAGGTCACACATAAAAAGCACTTTGGATTGCTATTATCTGTGTCACCGAGACTACTTACGTGTAAATCTGTTATTTGTCCATCCATCAATCCATTTTCATCCGCGTATCCGGAGTCGGGTTGCGGGGGCAGTAGCGTGACTTCCCTCTCCCCAGCCGCCGGAGCCAGCTCCTCCGGGTAAATCCCAAGGGGTTCCCCGGTCAGATCCGGTGTTGTGCCGGTAAGAAGCCCGCTCCGACAGTTTCTGGCGTCGGAGCGGGCAGTAGAGTCGAGCGTCCCAGACACCGCGGTTCCCAGACCTTCTCCCCAGCTCCTCCGGCCGGGGGAATCCAAGGGGTTCCCCGGTCAGGTCTGGTGCTGTGCCGGTAAGAAGCCCGCTCCGACAGTTTCTGGCGTCGGAGCGGGCAGTAGAGTCGAGAGTCCCAGACCTTCTCCCCAGCTCCTCCAGCCGGGGGAATCCCAAGGGGTTCCCCCGGCCAGGTCCGGTGTTGTGCCGGTAAGAAGTCCGCTCCGACAGCTTCTGGCGTTTTTAAAAAGTATCCCAGGGGCACGGTAAGGGTCGGGGATGTTTAGTCTATTTAATTTCTGACTATATAAAATGATTTCTTCTGTTTTAAAGTGTGAAGTAAACTCAGACGAAGTAAAATCCAAGCGGATCCCGTTCATGTTCATGGTTACATCCGTGTTTGTTTACCTTTTTTGCATGCCAAAATGGCGTCCACTAACTGAGAGTCACGTGGGGTCCGGAGCTCTATAGGCTTAGACTGCTGGAGAACATACTGCTTGTTTATTATGAGGATTGTTGCAATTTGCTGGGTTCCTTATAAAAGAAACTTTTTCTGATTGGCTTAATGAACTGAATGTTTACTATGTGACATGCCTTGAGACAATTCTTGTTGTGATTTATTGAAATGAATTGAATGAGCCCACAAGGTTGGTGAATCTGCAGCAAGCTATTGCTGTGCTGGCATTTGTAATATGACTCCGGCAGGCTAAATCATCCAGAATTGTTTAAAGAACCAAAGCCAGGAAACAGGGGTGACTCTGAAGTAATTTCTTCTACCTCTAAGAAAGCATCTTTTTTTTGTTTGACTAATACCGGGTGAAGAAGGATAGAGGCTAAAGTTCAGCTAACAATGCTAACGGTGAATTAGATGCAAATAGTCAGCTCTAAAAATATCTCAAGTTACTTTTTCAATTCCCAACAACTTGATTTTACAGCGAAATTTATGTGACCTGAACAATGACTCAATTGTGGCGTTTTACTTCCTTTAATGGGTTGTTTGGGATTATTAAGCTAACAGTAAGACCTCAAACAACCACATTCGTTCTAATGCTGGAGAAATATTCCCGTAATCAGTGTTGTAAGTGTTCCCTGATGTAAAATACCCAAGAGTGCTAACACCAGCTATGACAATGTATTTATCTACTTATCAGCTTACTGTAAATGACTCATCTTCGCTTGTCATCTACACTCCATTCTGTTGAGAAAAATGGGCTGCAGTACCCAAATTTGACCACGGAATGTCATTCTTACTTAGTTTTTACATATTGCACCTTTAAGTCTCACAGGAAAGATGCTCTAAAATTAAAATCTATTTGGTCTGTTAAACTTAGGACAGGTTATGTAACTCTGTCTGTGAAGAACACGAGTGGTACAAGAAAAGTAGCTGATGAGTGATTAAACAATGAAGTCCAAAAACACCATGGGTGAGAGAGAGGAGGTGGAATAAAAAGAACGGTTTCATGAGGATGATCTCACCGATCAGGATGGGGATCCACAACACCCACAATTACAAGCTTCTTCCCTGGCCGAAGTCCGCCGGAGATGTGACCTCTGAAAGGAACCACCTGCACACGCAAACATGTGCATGGCAAACTCATCAGACTTTGACTGTTTACACATTAAAGTCAAAATGACTGTAAAAAGAGACGAGTAGTCAAGGGAAAACAATGTATCTGATGTTAAATATGAGTGAATAAAAATGTCAGAAGACCATATCGCACTACTGAAGCAACATGTGAAAAAAAACAAAGTATTAAAGTCATTTATTGTGCACAGCTCAGGGTAACAATAGTTATTTATCTAATTGCTCAATGTTGTTGATTCTTTTCAAGTTTTCCAATCCTATTCCAGTTGGAAGAGACCACAAAGTAGACCCAGAAATCCCTGGAGGAATTTAGCATCTGCCTGGGAATGCTTTGGAATCCCAGGAATAGTTGGAGAGTTTACTGAGAGAGCGATGTCGGGGTTATCCTCCTGAACCTGTCACCTCCACAGCCAAACATTGAATGGATTAACTTTTCTCTTTTATTTCCTATAACCGAGTCTCAGTTTTATTGTTTAACCTTGATTTTGAATATTTTCCCAGTTTTTATAGATTTTGTTCCCTGGATGTGTCACAGTTCAGACAGAGTGTTGCTGAATTACCAGTTTTCTTTCCATTTCCTCATCGGGAATGAGGGTTCTGTCTTTGTTCTGTTCCGTCTCACCTCTCTGTGGTAAACTCCATCTCTGAAACAAGAAAAACGGTGAAACGATCTACGGGCTGGACCCAGAAGAGGTCCCAGTGTGCGTGTTTCAGTTGAAATGACAGCATCAGCTCTGACTTTTTGAGCAGTGAAGGGAAGGGCCAAAGTTCACAGTGTGACATCAAGCTATACGTGTCATGTGAGCAGCACATGCGGGTTTGAGCCAAAACAGGAAGTTCAATAAGATAAGGTTAGCATTCAAAATAAAATCACCTATATAGTGGGAACCTTTGTTTACAGATTTGCAGCACATTTTTCTGTTAATCAGACGTTGGTGGATTTTATAAGACTGGCACCATTTTTAAAGCCAGTGATGTAACCTTGCTTCAGTCTGCTGCTCTGATCCATCTGACCTTAACCATTTACTAACCTTCACATACATCATTATTATTATCATCATTGTAAAAAAAATTAATAAAATCTTATTTTATTGGTTCACTTAAATTTTTGTTCCTGACTCTAAAGAGTGTTTTCCAAAAAGTCCCACTGTGGCTAGCAGAGGGTTTTATTTTGGCGGGTTAGGTAGAACTGTTGCACACCTGGCTACTGTAACAGTAGTTAAGTGAAAGGCAGGCTCACAAAAGTTCTTTCATTTCCAAGAGCAGTCAAAGTCGAGTATCTAAGCCGTCACACGAGGCTGAGGCTGCTCAGCAGTGCCGTTTCTCCTGATCTGTGTCATGTGGTTAAATTCTCTGTGGCGGAAACTCACCTTCCTGCCCTGCACCGTCCCTCTCTGTGATTCAGCCATTTTCACCTGAAGGAAGTAAAAAAACCAGCAGAATGACTTGCAGATCCAGTTTGCCTGTGACGTGTCGCCTGAACCAGCACTGACGTGAAGTTCCAACCTGCTTGATTACGCTCCAGCACACACAGCCGGGCTCCCGCAGTCAGCTGCCCCCACATGCCTTTCCTCTCAGGTCCATAACAAACATTCATTGTCTTCAGACTGCTGAACTGCAGTGGGACGCTCCAGCACTTTTCATTTCTTTGCTTCTTCCATTAGATATCAAAGTGTCATTCGGGTCTTTTGGATATTTTATCTTTCTGAATCGGATAGAAATGTGTGCAGAGATAGCTGAGGTGTTAAAAGACCTGCTGACACAGAAAAAACTGATATTTAGCAGACACAAATCTGCAAAGACAAAGATTAGCAGCAGGGATGTCTGATGCTTGGGACCAGTGTTGGGAAAGTCGGTTTTGAATATGAACTGGTTCAAAGTTCAGTTCATACATTTTAAAATGCTCATAGTACTTATTTAAATGTTTTAAACTAAGTTCATGGTTCCAAAAATGAACCAGTTCTTAGTTCCTTTTGTTCAGTATGTTGCAGAAAGCTGCAGAATTGTTGCCACCCGTTCAGTCCACGTGTCCTCGTGCCCATGCTGCAGCTTTTACTCCTACAGCAACAACATCAGAAAAACTTGCAGTTTGAATTTTTAAAGAGGAATTACTAAACAATCTGAGGAAGGAACCAGGCTGATGTAGGCGATAAACGGTGTGCCTCAAAGCACAAAACAATTAAACATTAATTATCTTTTAATTAAGTCACTTCAAGTTTTGTGAGTTAATTTTCTGACTTGTTTGCACAAATAAAAAAATTGTGGAACTTAAGTGCAACAATCAGCACAAATGAATGAGCAAATAACAAAGCAAACGAATGGATGAATGAATGAATATGTGGTACTACTTTGTGCTCCAGATATGATGTTTCTCCCGTATTAATTGTGCCTTCCATTTTGATTTTGTTTCTTAATTCAAATTTAAGATTCAACATATCAGCTCAACAACAGTAGCTGTGTTGGGTTACAGCCATAACAGCCATAAAATGGCAGGTTTGATACCACGTTCAGCTTATATAGTCATTTATATTAGCTCTTTTATTTTCATATTTTTACTCATTTTAATCTCGTGTTTTCTCTGTAGGGGCCCTCTGCCCCGGGGGCGGTGGTCAACTGTTGCTTCCTGGGTAGTGCTCCATAGGTAGTGTTTAAGTGGAGGTGGGGGTCTATGCTCCCCCTCCTCTGAGCGCCCTGATTTAGTGTGGAAGACCTGATGCTGCCGGGGCAGACGGCTCCTCTGATGGCGTTTCCTTGCCTTACCTTACTGGCTCATCTGGACTCAGCCGAATATACATTTTTACTGATGTGGGTGTGTGTGTGTGTGTGTGTGTGCAAATGTCTGTTAACGTTTTTAAACTGTTACGGTAATTTGGGGTAATTTTGTAAAGAACTTTGCTTGAAAAGCGCTTTACAAATAAAATCTGAGTGATGTGTCCTCACCACAAATAGCTTTCAGAGTGCTAATGTTTTTAGTGGTGAGCTTAGTGTTGTAATCTGGGGTTTATCCCTTATAAAAACAAATGTACCAGAAATTAGGATTTAAAAAGGTATAAAAAGTTTTTTACAAGTAGCTCCTAGCAAAACGAGGTTTTTAATCTCAACAGGACCTTCCTGGTTAAATAAAGAATAAATAAAAATGAATGAAAAATATTTTTTTCTTTGTTTATGACTCGGTGTTTGATCTGTTTTAGTTTTTTATTAGGTTTAGGCTTCATGTTGTTTAGGCATTTTGCTTCGTATTCAGAAACGGCCACTTTAAAAGATTTCGTCTGCTTTGACTTCAAATCATCAAAACCCTTCTGCTGGCAACAGCCCAGCTTCAGCTACTTGTTTCAGAGCTCAGCATTCAAACAGCATTACTGGTAAAACACAATTTCTCTAGTTTATTTGTTAAAAACCATATAAAAACATTCAAACGGCACAAAACATAAATAAGCAAGAAACCTGACGCAAACAACCCCTACAGTGAAAATAATTAAAGACACCATAAAACATGAATGTTCCGCATATCAAAAATAAATAAGAACCATGAACTAAAAGAAATAATTCAAAAAAAGAGGATAAACTTCAAAACAGATAAGTCTGTGAATTCAGATCCATCCGTGTGTGTGTGTGATGACCATGTAGCAAAAAACATTCAAGGAACAATATCTAATATTAGCTGCACCAATAAACTCCTTCTGGAACACAAGTCCCACCTGAGAGGATATGTTCTGCAGATCTGTCACTTCACTGTTGATGCCAGATTTCAGTTCTGAAGGACCGAATCGTCTGCAAGCTTTAATGGTGACAATTTAACAAAATAATGATATTACAGTTCATTCTAAAGATTACAAACATAAAAAGCTGTACGTCAGGATTTAATCACTACAATAAAATATACAGTATGACAACCCAATAAAAGTTACATTTCATTTAAATCAGAGGTAGCCCCCCGCTGGTCAGAGGCTGCATGAGGTCTAAACCAGTACTCGCAGCAGGAAGGAGAAGGATGCTCCCACAGCCAGCCCCAGAACCAGGAAGGAGGTCATCAGAGATCCGGCCGTCTCACAGTCCCTAAACCGCACCAACCTGTGGGACAGAGACGCACCTTGAGAGCAGGTCAACCACAGCATCACTCATCTCCTGATTTTCCATGAATGTTTATTTCTCACAACACAGCACAGATGCTGGTGACCTCATCCTAGTCCCAATAACCTATCTAAATGTATTCACATATCAGTAGAATCTATTTATTTCAGTAGTAAGTAGGGATGCTCCGATCAGGTTTTTTGCTGCCGATCACCGATACCGATCACCGATACCGATCATGTGGATTGGCCAGAAATTTTCTACAACATTATAAGGAGTGGTACAAACTACATAATCTGGGAATAAAGGAAATGTAACCTAAAATGGTCTGTATTAGGGTTGTCACGGTGTGAAATTTTAACCTCACGGTTATTGTGACCAAAATTACCACGGTTTTCGGTATTATCGCGGTATTTTTTTTAAACGTGCTACATTTTCACACAATTAAATAAACCCTGTATGTCAGGAAATATTGTCCTAAGTTTGTGTCTAAATTTTGCCTAAAATGTGTTATTTTGTAATTATGTTGTTTATTTGTTTACATTTTTCCCCTTTAGTCTTTAAAATACCAATATTTGCCCATAACTTCTTATTTTTTGTCTGTTTGATGTCATCATTTAAAAATAGCCTTCTAATCAGATACTTTTTTTTTTACCTTTACTTGAGTAATAAACCGTATATCAGGAAAATATTGTCCTCGATTTGTGTCCTTCCAGTGAGCTTTGCAGATTTGGGAAAATGTCATCAGGCAGTAATCATTGTTAATTTCATAATTATTCTCGGAGAGAGACCAACTCTTATCTGCCCCTGAGAGCCCCGTAATGCATAGCGTCATTTCAACATGGCGGTGTCCGCGACACGGTTTATATGCAGGTAGCGGCGCTGCGGCTGCTTTATATAGCGACTCGTTGCATTCTCCCTCAACCCAAATCCTCGGATCACGCATTTTAGCTAAAACGCTAACGTTAGCTTGCCTTGCGTTGACTGCAGAGTTGTGGGTGATGGTCACGCAGATGTGTCATGAGATTTGAAGCGTTGCTGCCTTTCACAGACACTTTTTCTGCACGTGCTGCAAACAGGATAGCCGTCTTCTATAAACTCCCTCGGCATTCTTCAAATATCTAAAATATGCCTGTACTTCCGACTTTGTCTCCTTTGAGGGATAATAAATGCCCTCCTGAGCGCTGCCGTCTCCTCCTTTGACCATTATTTCAGCTTTAGCTTCAAGAAAGTTTTGGTTGTAAACAACAAAGTGCTCATGTGCCGCCGGCAACTTCAGCCGATGATACGGTGGCTGGTAAGGGTCACCGCCCCTACACCGCAGCCACGGTAAACCCACCAAGATAATATAGTTTTTTAAAAAACAAGACGGTTATTATTGTCAACTTTTTTTTTTTACCGGGGTTTACCGCTACACTGGTTACCCTGACAACCCTACCTGATCGGTCTGCTTTGATCTATTTTGAAAATTCCGATCAAAACCGATAGGGGCGCTATCGGCCGATTACGATCAAATGCCGATCCATCGGTGCATCCCTAGTAGTAAGCTACTGGAAATGCTAACATTTAATTTCTACTGGTAACAATTAGGGCTGAATATCTATCGTTTTTGGACTGAAATTGCGATTTCTAACAGTACGATCATGTGACCATCAAAGCTGCGGTTTTAGCGGTTTTGACTGATCCAGGATCAGTTGTGTAACTTTTGTTTTTTACATCCGAGGTTTCCCCCTGTGTTATGGCGGCGGCAAAAGCCAGCGCGGGGGAGGGGGGTGGGGTGTACCGTCCAGAGCCGAGGCCAACTCCACAGCTGCCAGAGCTGCATGTTCAGGTTATTTTCCTGTTTTATGTTCCCACACACAGCACTGCTAGAGCCGATAATAATGGCAACTGGGTGAGCCCGGGACAGAGAGAGAGAGAGAGAGAACGTAGTTGAGTAAGGGAGAGAGAGACTCCTCACACATCAGCAGGTTCAGGCTGATTTCTACAGCTTGGGTTATGCTTCATCAGCATGAGTGTGGAGTCACGCACTTTAGCTGACTTGAAAGCTAAACTTCTCTTTTAAAAATGATTTGAATGTTTCTGACGGCACACGTTAGCTCAAACAAGCTAAGGTGTCAGAATGCGTGCGTCTCACGGAGCTGACGTTTCAGTGAGGAAAAACTATCAGACGGCTTCAGCCTGCCGCGGTAATGCAGGAAAACTGGGCAATTTTTGTTCTATTTCATCTAGTCTTAGCCCTTAAGCTAGCTGCTATTGGAAGGATGATCTCAGCATCAGCCAATCATGAAGAGCTTAAATGTACAACCACCAATGGTGGGCACCCCTTGTGGGTATATAAGTGGAGCGACTCCACTGTTCGCCTCCGTTATCTCTTCAAGCCAAGCTTAAGAGCTTCCTTTAAAGAGCAATATTATCCAAAAACGTTCGACTCACCGACCATGTCCAGCGACGCCAGGACCTGCCCGGCCTGCCAGACAGGCTCCATCTCCAGCGGTGACCTGCACGCCAAGTGTGAGGTCTGTCTCGGGGCTCATCACTCTGGCCTGGCCTTGACCCCGCAGGCCTCATGCCCGTTTTGTGCCGCTCTGCCCGTGGCTGAAAAAATCAGCCGGGTCGAGTACTTCACCCCGCAGCCGACGAGGAATTTCCGGTGGCTGACACGTACTCGCTGGACAAGGCCTTAGACTTCTTCAACGTCGGTCAGGAGCCGGCTGGCTTCAACCGACTGGACGACGTCACAGACAGTGAGGAGTACGACGAGGCTGGCTGCCATAGCCCTTCTTCCCTCCTGGACAACACGGAGGTCGACGAGCCTCGCTCAGCGGGTCCTTCTGCCCCAGTGGCTTCTCGCTCCTCCCTGCCAGCAGTAAGAGCACTGCTCCAGGAGCTGCCCGCCATCATCTCCGCGGCTGCGGTCCGCAAGGGGCTAGCCGTGCCAGAACCAGCTCCGCCTGAAGCGGATGATTTGGCGGGAATTTTCGGGGCAACACAGATGCGCTGTCCACACCCCATGTGGCAGAGCTTTCCCGCTGCTATGAGCTGCTGGTCCACCTCCTTCACCGAGCCTGCCAAGCTCAAGGCGCCAGTTTCCACATATGCGCCCATTACCAAGGTTGAGAGCTTCTCCGACCAAGGCTGGCCATCCGTTCCTCCACTGGAGCCGGACTTGGCCTCGCTGTTTGGCGCCAAGAACCACCTCGCTGGCCCGCGAGCAGTTCCCGCTTCTAAGCATGACCAGCTGCTGACGCGGCTCACCGACCGCATACACCAGTGCACCTTCCAGACCGGCGCTGCAGGAAATAACATCGCCCTTCTTGCCTTTGGCATTTCCAAAATGGTGGAAGAGCTTGACGCTCCTGACGAGTCAAAAACCATCATTACTAAGACTGCTGATGCCAGTCTCAATATGTACGCTGCTGTACTCACCGGTTCTGCTTGCATTGCTGCCTGGCAGACCCTTATTCGGCGGGCCCTGTGGCTCAAGGCCCTGCCCTCCATTCCTGAACACCTGCACAGGGAGATGCTGGAAGGCCCCATCACCTCTGACGTTCTGTTTGGTCCCCATCTTAGGAGAGTCATCGAGAGGGCTCAGAAGAAAGCTGAACTGTCAGCCACGGTGTGAGACCTGGTCCACCCTCGGTCAGCCTCACACTCCGGCCGTTCCTTCAGAGGATGAGACGAACGGCGTGGAAACTTCAGGCGCCCAGCTGCACAGCAGTCACAGGCGCAGGAACCTCGCCGAAAGCAACCACGAAAATGACTCGTTGGGGGCAATGTGTGTGCTTATGACTGTAATGTTGATGATGATGTTGGTTTTGAAATAAAACCCAAAAAAAACGTCACTTAGAGAGCACAATCCTACAGTCCTCTGCAGAATCCTCTGCCGAATCCTCACACATGTTCCCCACACCAAGCACTGCGACACATCTGCATGTTCACGCAGTCAGTCATATTACGCGGCCGGCTGTACGGGTGCGCTCCATTTGCGCACCGGCCCCAGCCTCCGGCCAGGCCCAACTCATTCCGCTTCCCCCACAACGTAGGGTGGGACGGGATGTCATGGCGCTGTCGCGACCACGCGCGGCGACACAGGGCGCGGCTCCATCCGCTGGCACTTTGTCGTCCCCGTACATGGGCCCGGCTCCCACTCGTCCTTCATCCTTGGACTCCACGCTCCGCGGTGCAGATCAGCCTCTTCCAGCTGTTCCACACTCGCCCTTTCGAGCGCAGCCCTCCATGGGTCGCTCCCAGTTCTCTGGTGCAAGCGACGGTGGTAAGGGCGTGAACCCAGTCCTCAGACTTTGTTCACGTGACCTCGAACACACGTCCGCTGTCGGAACGCATGCACGAGTGGCGCCGCCTTTGTCTCATGAGCAAATGGATATCGGAGACCATTCAGTGCGGTCACACACTCCATTTTCAGTCCGCTCCTCCTCCCTTCAACGGGATAGTGGAGACGACGTTCACGTCACAGGTACAATCTCAGGCCCTGGAGCTGGAGTTGCAGGAACTTCTGTACAAGGATGCAATTTCCCAAGTCCCTCGCTGACAAGAGCTCTCAGGCTTCTACTCCCGCTACTTCATAGTACCGAAGAAGTCGGGAGGAATAAGACCAATTCTCGACCTTACCCTGTTCAATTGCTCCATAGCAGTGATGCATTTCCGCATGTTAACAATGAGGCAAGTCCTGGAATACGTGCGCTCCGGGGACCGGTTCACGTCAATAGACCTGAAAGACGCATACTTCCACATCCCAGTAATTCCCAAGCACCGGAAGTTCCTGCGCTTTTCATTCAAGGGAGTTCAATAACAGTTCGATCGTCTCCCTTTCGGCTACTCGCTAGCCCCGCGCACCTTCTCCAAATGGCTGGAGACCACGCTGCAGCCACTGCGCACGGCGGGAATGAGGGTTTTATTTTACCTGGACGATCTGATCCTATGTGCCCGGTCCAAGGACGAGGCGTCAGGGCAAACCAGGAAGTTAATAGAGCATCTGT